TGGGAGTGGGTGTATGTGAGGAGGGTTTGTTACCACTGAAGTCTCCCTGATGACATCACAAGGCGGTACACCTGTGCAGGAGAGTGATAGCTGCACAGTTTTTTGTTGGTATAGTTCTGGTATTCTTGAGCCAGAGGACAAATGGTTTGGGGATTTCTCTACTTTATTCCACGTGGACAGCTTGTTCTATGGCAACAGCTTGGTATTTGTGGGTCTTGATTGCATTTTTCAATTCAAGTCTATCCATCTTGCTCTTGGATGTAAGAGTTCCCAGATTCTGAAAATTGTAATTTTAGGTGGCTTTTGTTAACTTTAAACATGTTGCATGAGAAATTGGGAAAGGCTGACTCTGAAGCTTTTAGCCAGAAGTTACTGGAAACTAGACTTCTGGCACTATGTGTGTGCTTGTACTATAACTTCTGAAGCATTGTCAGAGGCCCAAATGAAAGGGGCAACCATTTATTTTTGGCCAAATGAATCCTGCCAAAATTGGATGAACTGAGATGTCTAAACCTATGATTACAATAGCAAGGCATATTCTTTGGGAAAAGGTGATGGAATTGCTGGATGCAGGATTGTCACCTAAGGATGTATTCTCAGTGATGCTGTAGCTTTTGAGCTTTTGCCTGTCTATAGATGTATGTTAGAATGCTGCAGGGCTGTTGGGGCCAGTGTTAGTTTTGTCCCAGTGAGGAACAGATTATTGAAGGTCTACTCACCTCTTGCTTGTTTTACAGCCACTTGATACAACAGTGGCATTTTAACAGGAATTACTTCTTTTATGCTATTCTGAGTAAATGGTCAATCATGCCATCCCTCATACCACTTAGCATCACACTTAGATACAGGACCATCTGTTGCTTGTTGTTTGGCAATCTTGAGAGCATGTAAAAACAGGGCAAGTACAAGAAACATCTTCAGAATTGGTCTTGACATTCTTAGTTCTACCAGATCCCAGCTACCAGCTCTTCTTAAATAAGTCATGCATTTAGCTCAGTTCAAAGCCTAAGTTTATAGATCTTGCTTTTGTGTAAATGTGCAAATGCTTCATGCTGTGTTATATCTTCCCAAACACAAGCCAACCCACCTGCTTTGCCTGTTTGATTTCTTCCAGCTGGTTTCCCATTTGTCTTAATTTACTCTCAAGGTTTTTGCCTTATTGATTTATCAAGGAGGCCTAGTCATTTATTTCATGAAGATTATTTCTTTACGGCTGTGCAATTTGATGGAGCAGAACACAAATTTGGTGTTAATTATATTTATTTGGGTTTAGCAGAACAAGGTGATGGATTTTTTTTTATATAAACTCCCTAAGAGACAGGATTGCTGAGGAAATCATGTGGAAAGAGTCCTTTCTTCCATTATTGTTCATCAGAGGTGTTGAGACAAGCTGGGGTGATGCCACATAACCTACAACCCCAAAAGCTCTTTCTGAACTTCTTACACTGTTGACAAGCTGTGGGGGGAAAGCAAACCTCTTGAGGAGAACTGCTAGACAAAAAGATGCTCATTTGAGATCCGGAAATGGAAAGATTAAAGGGTTTTGATGTGGATCCTGTGTAGCTGAACGTTCTCTTGTCCCAGGCCCATCCCATTTTGTTTTGTCCCTTTCCAGCGGGTTCATTGTGTTTGAGTGGAAATACCCTCTGCTGGGCAAGGAAGGAGAGCTGGAAAATTTCTAATACATTAGTGACTTGTCCCCCTGAAATTCATTTTTTCTTGACCTGTAAAATAAGGTCAGTAAGTCTTTATTTGGAGACTAAACGGCTGAAAGAGAGATCTCAAACTACAATGCTCTTGAAAAAACAGCGACTTAGAGATTTGTTTCTTCTCATGTCATTGTTTTGAGGTGGGCATTTCAAACTGGTTGGGGGACTCTGAATCTCTAAGCCATTCAAGAGCACAGTTTTCTTTCATCTTGCCTTGGGGTCATATTGGAGGCCATTTTCCACACTTATAAGGGCAAATCTGGGTTGTAGCCAATTCAGCCAGCCTGCAAGAAGAATGAGAAGAAGTGCGGGATGAGCAGTCATTTTTCAGTAAGTCTCTCACACAGGAGCTTTTGTTTTTCCCCTCAGATCCCTTTCGTGAGAACTTAGTCACATGACTATAGCCCCATAGGAGGCTGAAAAACTTAATCTTGAATAGGGAAGACATGCCCAGGAAAAAAGGGAGAATAGAATTTTGAGGATAAGGTACTATTAACCAGAAATACCAATATCAATAGTTAGCTGTAAAAGTTAAGATTTTTTTTTTGACATGGAGTCTCACTGTGTCACCCAGGCTGGAGTGCAGTGGCATGATCTCAGCTCACTGCAACCCTGCCTCCCCAGTTCAAGCAGTTTTCTGCCTCAGCCTCCTGAGTAGCTGTGATGGCAGGCACCTGCCACCACACCCAGCTAATTTTTGTATTTTTAGTAGAGATGGGGCTTCACCATGTTGGCCAGCCTGGTCTTGACCTCCTGACCCCATGATCCACTCACCTTGGCCTCCTAAAGTGCTGGGATTTCAGACATATTATTTTTAAACTGCTAAGCACCTGCTGATGTAGATTATTAGTGAGGACCTAATACACAATAAAAAGCTTTCTTCTGCCCTCATTTATGTTCTTCTTAAGAGACTGATAATTATCAGAAGAGGAGGAGCAATTAGAAACATGATGCACAGCTCTAAATACAGGCAGGAGAGGAATGGGAAGAACTGAGCAGGACTGGTATCACTTAAAATTTAAATAACTTTCACTCCTGAATGATTTAATTAACTGGGTATCACAGTGGAAGTTAGGTATAAAACAATCTACTGAAGAGCCCCTCTAAAAACATAACAGGAGTCATTTTTAGTCATAGGACCATGAATTGTCTCACAACTAAACTTTCCAACATAGTTATTTGGAAATTATAGGTGTTAGATAATTGATAGTTCAATATTGTTCAACCATAGTCAGCATTGAAAGCCCTAAGGTAATAAGCTTAAGTGTGGATTAGACTGTGGCTGGAGCCTTTTCAGTTGAACAATTAATGTGAATTTCTGAGTAGGGCACTGTCCCAAGTACTCTGATTTCTTTTTCTGTAACTTTGGAACAATCCAAGGATTTGGATGATACAAGTTCAATAATACATGTGAAATGTCTAAGTCGTACAAAGTCCATTTGAAACTTTTAAAGTATTATTATGGGTTAAGGCCAGAAAATATAAAAATTAGGGTGTTTGGCAAAAACAAAGTTTTGTAGAAAGTAAAATACAGAATAGACTTCTATTTTAGTAAGTGTGCTTAATAAACTAATCTCCTTTGTTATGACACAAAACTCTTAATTCTTTGACAAAATATATAATTTTTTATGATTTTAAGGCTATATACTGAGATTATTTCTGGTTGATGTATTTATGAAGGGGTTATTATTTTATTTGTTTTTCTAATATTCTCTGTCCCCAAGAAAGAGAAAATTATGTGGGGAATTGGAGGGCAGAAGGAACAAGACTTGATATAATCATGCATTTTAATGGATCTTCTAACTACAAATGTTCCAAAAGGTCTTTCATATTGTCTGTTGTCTCCTAGCTGTTTGGGAGGCTGAGGCAGAGAATTGCCTGAACCCAGGAGGCAGAGGTTTCATGAGCCAAGAGCACCACTGCACTCCAGCCTGGGTGACGCAGCAAGACTCCATCTAAAAAAAAAAAACAAAAACAAAAAACTTAACTTTACTTCTAACTATTGATATTGGTATTTCTGGTTAATAGTTATTTGTCCTCAAAATCACAGCAATCCAATATCCCCATTAGGTGACCAAGGAAAGTAGGGATGGGATGACACTGGGTGTTTTTTTTCAAATGTAAATCTAAAGTATAGAAGTATTATGTATGGTTCCCCAAGATAGCTGTGGGAACAAAATTGGAACCTGTAACGCATCCATTAAGGGCCTCGAAACTCATGAAATTAATTGTTCACAGAAACATAATGAGTACAAAAGACTGGCATTTCCTTTGCCATTGTTTCTTTCTTTAATGCTCCCGAGTGCCCCATATTCCTACAGGAAACAGCTCCCCACTCCTTCCTCCTAATGGACATCAAAAGGCTTGGAAGCTATTTGTACATATACCATGTGTTCCTTGTAGAGACTGAAATCAAATCTTATTTCAAGTTCCCAAGTGGGAATTACGGGGAGTGTATCAGAGCTACTCCAGGAAATGAAGGTGAAGGTTATTGCATTTGTTTTCCATGCCCAGCAAAATCTCATGTAACCTATCTCCAATAAGAGATTTGTCTTTCAAAGTTAACTCTCTGTTTCCCAGATAGAGTTCATTATTATTAAGTTTCTCCAAATGCCTTCACATGACAGACACTTGAGGGTGGATGAGGAGGATGGAAATTACCAGATATAAATAAAAAACGTGTATTTACAAAGTCATATTTCAAAAAGTGTTACTATTCTAATCTGGGGTTCAGGCATCACTCTTGACCATAGCATTTGTTCTTATCTAAATCTCATTTTCTCATGTTCCCTAAGTTGGTAGCAAAGCTCAGTAATATTGACTCACAAGTAGAAAATATGTATCTTCTTGTCCTATCTATGGTTTCACTTGCCTATGTGTGAGTGTGGGGAAAGAGTGGGGTAGAGGGATTCTAGTAAGTCTACAACTTTGTTTATTCTACCTTGTTTGAGAAATTGTTAAGACTTTAGGTGAAAAGTGTTTGATTTCCTGTTTCTGTTCATTTGTCTATAACTCAAAAATACAGTAAGGGAAGAAAGCATAACTGAAATGTCATGAAGAAAGGTAAATATGTATTCCTGGTAATTCTTTGTGTAAGGTCCATTTGAATCCATATTTATGGGTGTTCTTTGGTCAGAAGAAAGTTTAATCTTAATAATGAGATCAAATCTAAGAAATCTCAGTGTTTTTGCTCATTGTAAGTATATTTATGTCATAATTTTCCAAAGTGTATTTCATAAAACACTCATTCAGAAGCATTATTAATAGGTATCACACAAAAACTAGTCACTTTTTCTCAAATGTCCAGAAATTACTTGTGAACATACTGCATTAAATAATACATGAATCCAGTTAAGAGAGACAAAAGCAAGAAAAAATATTGAGCAAGAAACCAGTAAAACTAACAACCATCATAATTGTTAAAAATGAGGCCATGTAGCTTAATGCCTGAGTTTAAGAAAGAATCCTTTAGAAAGGAGGGCGTATCCGTCTGTACTCATGTTGCTAATAAAGACATACCAGAGACTGGGTAACTTATAAAGGAAAAAGGTTTAATTGCCTCACAATTCCACATGGCTGGGGAGGACTCACAGTCATGGCAGAAGGTGAATGAGGAGCAAAGTCACTTCCTACATGGCAGTAGGCAAAAGAGCATGTGCAGGGGAAATCCTTTTTATAAAACCATCAGATCTAGTGAGACTTACTATCACAAGACCAGCAAAGAAAAAAACCCACCCCCATGATTCAATTTATCTCCCACTGGGTCACTTCCATGACATGTGGGGATTATTACAATTCAAGATGAGATTTGGGTGGGGACACAAAGACAAACCATATCATTCCACCCCTGGCCCCTTCTAAATCTCATGTCCTCAAATTTCAAAATCAATAATGCCTTACCAACAGTCCCCCATGTCTTAACTCATTTCAGCATTAACTCAAAGGTCCATAGTACAAAATCTTATCTAAGACAAGGCAAGTTCCTTCTGCCTATGAGCATGTAAAAATCAAAAGCAAGTTAGTTGCTTGCTAGATATAATGTGGGTACAAGCAGTGGGTAAATATAGCTGTTCCAAATGGAAGAAACTGGCCAAAACAAAGGTGCTACATGCCCCATGCAAGTCTTGAAATTCCAGCAGGGCAGTCAAATCGTAAAGCTCCAAAATGATCTCCTTTGACTCCATTACTCACATTCCAGGTCACACTGATGGAAGAGGTGGGTTCCCATGGCCTTGGGCAGCTCCACCCTATGGATTTGCAAGGTACAGCTCCCCTCCTGGCTGCTTTCACAGGCTGGTATTTTCTGTGGCTTTTCCAGGCACAAAGTGCAAGCTCTCAGTGGATCTACCGTTTTGGGTTCTAGAGGATGGTGGTTCATCTTCTCACAGCTCCAGTGAGCAGTACCCCAGTAGAGACTGTGTGTGGATGCTCCAACCCATTTTCCTTTTGTACTGCGCTAGCAGAGGTTCTCCATGAGGGCTCTGCACCTGCAGTAAACTTTTTCCTGGACATCCAGGTGTTTTCATATATCCTCTGAAATCTAGGCAGAGGTTCCCAAACCTCAATTCTTGACTTCTATTTACCCATAGGCTCAAGACTGTGTGGAAGTTGCCAAGACTTGGGGCTTGCACCCTCTGAAGCCATGGCCCTAACTGTACCTTGGCCCCTTTTAGCCACAGCTGGAACAGCTGGAATGCAGGGCACTAAGTCCCCACACTGCACAAAGCAGGGGGGTCCCTGGTCCTGGCCCAGGAAACCATTTTTTCTCCTGGGCCTCTGGGCCTGTGATGGGAGGGGCTGCCAAAAAGATCTCTAACATGGCCTGGAGACATTTTCCCCATTGTCTTGGTCATTAACATTCAGCTCCTTGTTACTTACACAAAGTTCTACAGCAGACTTGAATTTCTTCCCAGAAAGTGGATTTTTCTTTTCTCTTGAATTGTCAGACTGCAGATTTTTCAAACTTTTATGATCTGTTTCCTCTTCAGCACTTTGCCTCTTAGAAATTTCTTCTGTCAGATACCCTAAATCATCTCTCTCATGTTCAAAATTCCACAGATCTCTAGGGCAGGGGCAAATGCTGCCAGTCTCTTTGCATAGGAACAGTGGCCTTTTCTCTAGTTCCCAAGAAGTTCTTCATCTCCACCTGAGACCACCTCAGACTGAACTTTATTGTCCATAGAAGTATTAGCATTTTGGTCAAAGCCATGCAACAAGTTTCTGGAATGTTCTAAACTTTCCTAAATCTTCCTGTCTTCAGAGCCCTACAGTGTCTAGAAAATTCCAAACTTTCCTACATTTTCTTTCCTTCTCCTGAGCTGTCCAAACTGTATCAGCCTCTGCCTGTTATCTAGTTCCAAAGTCACTTTCACATTTTTAGGTCATTATATAGCAGCACCCTATTCTACCAGAACCAATTTACTGTATTAGTCCATGTCATGCTACTAATAAAGATATACCTGAGACCGGGTCATTTTTAAAGGAAAGAAGTTTAATTGACTCACAGTTCCACATGGCTGGGGATGCCTTACAATCATGGCAGAAAGCAAAGGAGGAGCAAAGTCATGTCTTACATGGCAGTAGGCAAGACAGCATGTGGAGGGGAACTTCCTTTTATAAAACCATGACATCTTGTGAGACTTACTTTCTTGAGAACAGCACAGGAAATAACCACCCCCATGATTCAGTTACCTCCCACCAGGTCCCTTCCATGACATGTGGGGATTATTACAATTCAAGGTGAAATTTGGGTGGGGACACAGAGACAAACCATATCAAAGGATATACAGGAACTTATTTCAGTACAGGATATAATCAGTAGCCTCTGTCTAGAAAAATAAATGCATCTAAAAATCTGTGAGCCTCCTTAGATGCAAGTATAAAAACAGTCTGTGGGGGAATCTTCTCTAGAACAAAAATGAAACCTGGAACCTTGGAATCAGGCCCCAATTAGAAGAGAGGTTGTTACCAGGTTACTATGGAATAATCATCTATGAGCTGTATATATGCAAAATCATGCAGACTGTTTGGAAAATTGAATTCATTTTATATACTATCTATAATTTGAAGAATTACTTCATTGTGCATGATTTTCTTGAAATAGGATTATTACTTTGTAGAGTGGGTAGAATTTCTTTTTTGGGGGAAGTATAGACTTAATAGAGCCATCAGAGTCCATGTCCTAGACCACACTTCTCTTAGAAGCAATGAGTCCCAGAGAGAAAGAAGAAGAGAACATGTCTTGATCTTGGCTGCCTGAGGGTCCTATAGAAGTTTATCACCCTTTTCCATTCCAAAAGACACACAAATATTGATAGGAAATATCAAGATTGTTGTCTTTGGATGGTGACATTTCCTCTTTGGTTTTGTGCTTATTTACTATTTCTGAAATGGTGAAAATAATGCCTTTTTATATTAATAAGAATTCATGAAATATTAACATGTATATTGTAAAAAAATGTAATTAGTAATACATCAAGGAAACTGATCAAAAAGTTTTACTCTAGAAATATTTGAGATGTAAATTGAATACTTTTAGCTAATTTTTTAGTGGTAACTTTGATAAAACAGGCTTAGGCATAGTTCAGACCTGTTAAGATACTTTAAGAAATGTGGTTTAAAAACATGCAACTTTTTTTTTTTTTTTTTTTTTGAGATGGAGTTCCACTGTTGTTACCCAGACTGGAGTGCAATGGCATGATCTCGGCTCACCGCAACCTCCGCCTCCTGGGTTTCAGCAATTCTCCTGCCTCAGCCTCCTGAGTAGCTGGGACTACAGACGTGCACCACCATGCTCAGCTAATTTTTGTATTTTTAGTAGAGACGGGGTTTCACCTTGTTGACCAGGATGGTCTCGATCTCTTGACCTCGTGATCCACCCGCCTTGGCCTCCCAAAGTGCTGGGATTATAGGCGTGAGCCACCGCGCCCAGCCAACATGCAACTTTTTATTTTGTTTTCTATTTAATTCTACCTAGGGTTTCATGCTTGACTGCCTCTTTCTACAGCTAGGCTATTTAATAGAAGACCTCCACTTAAGAATGTATCTGATGAAAATATCCAAACACTTAAGGTTTTCTCTAATTTCAAATGTTATGTTTTTTTAAAGAAACATTCAAGGGCATCAGGAATGCTCTTAGATTTTTTCAGTGTATCAGGAAAATAAGGGAAAGCTTGTTACAATATGATAAAAATTCGGATTGTAATGTGGACAAAAAAAAAAAAAGCCTGCCATGACCTACAGTAGGCATGAAAAAAGACAAAGAAACAAAAAATCGCTTTCTCCTCCTACACGAATACTGGCAAACAAGTTAACACAGAGACAGCTTTAAAGTTTAACAAAAGTAAATCACAAAACAGGCAATTGCAAGATATATGTGTATATATATACCTATATATATGTGTGTGTATATATATGTTGCAATAGCCTGTGTCTATACATATCTATATCTGTATATACCTATTCCCCTAGACATATAGCCATATATATGTATATATATATACTTTTTTGTTTACATATTTGGGATTTCAAAAGTTTGGGAGAATAATATATTTTACATATATACACACTCACACATTAAAAAAATCTATATAATATATATCTATGTAATATGTATTATAATCCCAAATGTTTAAATGCTTTGCCCATCTTGCATGAGCAAAGGGATAAGGATGCCTTCTCTCTGGAGTCCTCAAGACCATGTCTCCAGGTTTCATGTCCTGATGGGATGATGTTCTTCCACTCCTGCAGAACCCTAACTCTGGCACAATCTCAGCTGTGTATGCTTCCCTCCATTTTTTTGAAATTTTGGATTTCACACAGTTTCCTGTAAACTTCAAAGAAAAAGAGGAATCTTCCTACTTAACCAACTATTTGTCCATCTGTCCATCCTATACCTGCCTTCTTTCTCCTCATTTTCTATCAACATGACCATACATTGAACACCTATGATATGCCCAGCATTGTGCTAGGTGTTTACAACATGCACTCTGTTTTCCATGCTATCATCTTAAATACTCTTATTTAGCCCTCTTTCCTGAGGAGTACTGCCTTTGGCTTCCATGTCATTAGAAGCCTTTCTCTACCTCATCAAGATATAGATACCCTAAACTAAGATGGAGGTGATAGAATGTGGCATAGCAGAAAGAGCACGAACTCTGAGGGAATTATCCTTAGGCTTAAGCTTTGGCTTCTCTATTTCCTACCCATGTGTCCTTGGATGAGTTACTTACCCTCTCTCAGCATCAGTTTTCTCATCTACTGTCTGAGGGTAACAATACTTATTTCAGAACTGCTAGAGGAATTCAATGAAATAACATGTAAATTTCCTTAACATGTGTCCACATCATGGGAAGCATTTAATAAATAGTAGCAATTCTAATATCGAAGCAATAGCTGTCAATTAATTAGATATAGGCATGTTCAGAATGGTCAGTTGATTTATATTTGCCCCCTTATGTATATACTAGGGTAATAAAAAGTTGCCTAGTTGACTTTTTATTGCCCTCTTTTATGTATGTGCATTGTGTACAGAGCCTGCTCAATAGGTATTTATTGTAATAATTAATGAAGTACATAGTCTAATGTTTCTCTTCATTTGTATAAGCTTTAAGAAAGTCCTCTTTTTTCAGCTTTTTTGGTACATAAATTAATGGCAGTTTTATTATAATCCCATCCTTTTGTTTGATTTTCCCTGTGTTTTCTTAAATTTAGAAATATTAATAAATTCAGATTAGCTGCACTAACTCACAGTGTTCCTTCCTTTTGCCATTTCCTTCCTATCTTCTTGTAATTTAAACTTTCCACATCCTAGAGTGAGAAATATGAGTTCCCAGTTTTTCCACAGCTTCAGTAAGTGGGCTGGAACATGTTTTAATGGACTGCTGTAACCAATGAATTTTAGTGGTTTTTCCTCCATCTTCCTGAATATTTTCCTATTCAGCTCTTCTCTTCCTCTCATGTCTTCCACATCTTATCAGTTGTAATGAATTGAACCTGTGGTAGCTATGCTAGAAGAGCTGTTTCTTAGTTTAAATGATGGTGATGCTATTTTGCTGCTAAAATTAATTTCACATTCTTTTAATGAATTCTTTTTCTTTATTTTGAAATGAAAACCACCAAAGTATTTTTCTCTGTACACCTAGTTGCACCCAGAGGAGATGAGAGATCTAGAAATATCCTTAATGCCTACATGAAAATTCTTTCTATCCCACTAAGTACCCAGTTTTTAAAACATTTTTCCCATATGGAAGTCTTACTCAAAGCTTTTCCTAGAAAAGCCATATTCTGGGCATGCTGTGTTTTTGCTGAAGTGTCTAGGCTTTGTTGTTGTCCCGTCAGGGATATGACTTGTGGATTTTCCTTTCTATGTGAGAGAAAGTTGACCTTTTGTGCTAATTCCACTTCCTGGTGAGTCAGTCTTCTTTCTCTTGGGCTTGCCTCCTTGCTCAGTGCCAACTCTTACATTCCACTAATTCAGCACCTGCCCCTTCTTAGACAGGCTCTTCAAACCCCCTCACCAGCCCCATCTTGACCCAGTGACTTCTTTGTGTGGCCACTGGAGTCCTAGAGACTATGTTTCCAAGTTTCATGTCCTGCTGAGATGATGTTCTTCCCCTCCCTCCTGCAGGAACCCTAACTCTGGCACATCTGAAGCTATGTATGCTTCCCTCCATGTCGTTGAAATTTTGGATTTTACATGGATCCCCGTAAATTTCAAAGGAAAAGGAGAATCATCCTACTTAACCATTTCTCCACCTATGCCTGTTTAAATAACTTTAAAAGTTATTTAATTTCTCAAATCCTCTGTTTTGACATATGAAAAAATAAAAATAACATTTGTTTTTTTAGCAGGGCATATGAAATGAAAATAATGCAAATGAGGGTAACTAACAATGATAAGCCTTACCAGGAAGGAGGCAATGGTGAAATAATTGGAATATATTTTGTCATAAAAATTTAACTTGCTGGCAGCTCCTAATAAGTAGCAGTTTCCCGTTTCTTACTATTTTCCTCCAGGAATTTGGCCTGAAAGTATTCAGGGTCCATTTTTCTTTTCAAAAATGATAGAATGGAAAGCAATCGAAGTAAATTTTAAGACTTTTCAAAACTTACTTAGGATTTTGGCATGGAGAGGGGAAAGCTATCGCAGCTATTGATGAATTTATTCAGTAAATACTGAGTGCCTACTCAGTGCTACATCACTGTTTCTATATGGAAAAGAAGTATTCCTCTGGTACAATGCTTCCTTAGTAGGGGTTAGCAATCCAAGAAGCAAAGCACATGTGTGTTTCTATAAGCAATAGAAAAAGCATACTCAAGGATCTTATATATCTGTTCACTGATTCCAAGAAGGCAGCTAAGACTTTTTGGAAATAGGAATAGGAATTGACGTAGCACAACGCTTGGCATGTCATAGGTGTTCAATGTAGGGTCATGTTCATGAAATGGAGGAGAAAGAAGACATGGCATAGGATGGACAGATGGACAAATGATTAAGTAGGAAGATTCTCCCTTAAAGACATGTGTCTCCACTTTGCCAACCTTTGTTTTTTTAAAAATAGGAATGTATTTAAAATTAGTTTATATGAAGTCTAATTAGAAAAAAGTCTTGTTACATTCTGAAAGAGTGCCAGAACACCAGAATATTAATTATAAGACTACTTTTTTTTTTAAAGGTTTTCTTTTTTTGAGATGGAGTCTTGCTCTGTCACCCAGGTTGGAGTGCGGTGGTGCAATCTTGACTCGCTGCAACCTCTTCTTCCCGGGTTCAAGCAATTATCCTGAATTGGCCTCCCTAGTAGCTGGGATTACAAGCATATGCCTCCGTGCCCAGCTGATTTTTGTATTCTTAACAGAGACGAGGTTTTACCATGGTGGTTAGGCTGGTCTTGAACTCTTGACCTCAGGTGATCTGCCCACCTTGGCCTCCCAGAGTGCTGGGATTATAGGCGTGAGCCACTGCACCCAGCCTTTTAAAATTTTTTTAGGTTTGGGGTACCTATGAAGGTTATGTAGGTAAACACGTCATAGAGGATTGTTGTATTTATCGTTTGATCACCCATGTATTAAGCCCAGTACCTAATAGTTATCTTTTCTGCTCTTTTCCCTCCTCCCAACCCAGTGTCTGTTGTTTCCTTCTTTGTGTTCTTATTTTGCTCCCACTTATAAGTGAGAACATGTGGCAGTTGATTTTCTGTTCCTGCATTAGTTTGCTAAGGATAATACCCTGCAGCCTCATCCATGTTCCCACATAAGGCATGATATCATTCCTTTTTATGGCTGCATAGTCTTCCATAGTATATATGTACTCTGTTCTCTTTATCCAATCTGTCATTCATGGGCATTTAGGTTGATTCCACATCTTTGCTATTGCAAATAGTGCTGTAATGAACATTTGTGAGCATGTATCTTCATAATAAAATGATTTATATTACACTGGATATCTACCCATTTATGGAAGTACTGGGTTAAATGGTGGTTCTGCTTTTAGCTCTTTGGGGAATCACCATACTGCTTTCCAAAATGGTTGAAGTAATTTATACTCTTACCTACAATGAATAAGTGTTCCCTTTTCTCTGAAACTTCACCAGCTTCAGTCATTTTTTTACTTTTCAGTAACTGCCATTCTGACTAATGTGAGGCGGTATCTTATTGTGGTTTTGACTGGCATTTCTCTAATGATCAGTGATAATGAGCATTTTTTCATATGCTATTGGCCACATGTCTGTCTTCTTTTGAAAAGTGTCAGTTCATGTCCTTGGCCTACTTGTTAATAAGGTTGTTTTTTCCCTTGTAAATTTGTTTAAATTTCTTATAGATGTTGGATATTAGACCATTTTGAGAGGCATAGTTTGTAAATAATTTTATTTTGCTGTGCAGAAGCTCTTAAGCTTAATCAGATCCCACTGGTCAATTTTGGCTTTTGTTGTGATTGCTTTTGGTGTCTTTGTCATGCAATGTTTGCCCAGTTTTATGTCAAGGATGGTATTGCCTAGGTTGTCTTCCAGAGTCTTCATAGTTTGGGGCTTTACATTTAAGTCCTTAACTCATCTTGAGTTGATTTTTGTGTATGATGTAAGGAAGGGATCCAGCCGCAGTCTTCTGAATATGGCTAACCAGTTTTCCCAGCACCATTAATGGAATGAGTCTTTTCCCTGTTGCTTATTTTTATCAGTTTTGTGGAAGATCAAATGGTCACAGAGCTCTCTATTCTGTTCCATTCGTCTATATGTCTATTTTTGTACCAGGACTATGTTGTTTTGGTTACTGTAGCCTTGTAGTATAATCTGAAGTTGGATAACATGAGGCCTCCAGCTTTGTTCTTTTTGCTTTGGACTGCCTTGCCTATTTAGACAATTTTGAGGTATATATGAATTTTAAGATAGTTTTTTTCTAGTTCTATGAAGAATGTCATTGGTAGTTTGATAAGAATGGCATTGAATCTGTACATTTCTTTGGGCAGTATGGCCATCTCAATAATATTGATACTTCCTATCTGAGCATGGGATGTTTTTCCATTTGTTCTGTTTTCTCTCATTTCTTTGATGTGTTTTGCAAATCTCATTGTAGAGATCTTTCACCTCCCTGATCAGCTGTGTTCCTAGGTATTTTATTTATTTTGTGACAATTGTTAATGGGAATGCCTTTCTGATTTGTATCTTGGTTTGGCTGTTGTTGCTGTATAGGAAAGCTAGTAATTTTCTTTTTTACATTCATTTTATATCATGCAATGTTGCTGAAGTTGTTTATCAGCTGGAGGAAGTTTTGGGCTGAGACTATATGGTTTTCTAGATAGAGCCATGTTGTCTACAAACAGAGTTTGACTTCCTCTCTTCCTATTTGGATACGCTTTATTTCTGTCTCTTGCCTGATTGCTCTGGCTAAGACTTCTCTCACCATTTACATTAAACATAGTAGAGAAGGCATCTTTATCTTGTGCCAGTTTTCAATGGGAAGGCTTCCAGCTTTTGCTCATTCAGTGTAACATTGGCTCTGGGTTTGTTGTGGATGGCTCTTACTATTTTGAGGTATGTACCTTCAATGTCTTGTTTATTTAGAGTTTTTAACATGAAAAGGTGAAGAATTTTATTGAAAGCCTTTTCTGCATTTATTAAGGTAGTTGTGATTTTCATCTTTTGTCCGTATGATGAATTACGTTTATTGATTTGCGTATGTTGAAGCAATTTTGCATCCCAGGGATGAAAGCTAATTGAATTGTGCTGGATTTGCTTTTTGGTGTGCTGCTGGATTTGGTTTGCAAGTATTTTGTTGAGAATTTTTGCATTGATGTTCAGCAAAGATGTTGACCTGATGTATTTGTTGTTGCTGTTGTGTCTCTGCCAGGTTTTGGTATCAAGTTGATGCTGGCTTCATAGAATGAATTGGGGAGGAGTCCCCCTCCCGTTTTTTGGAATAGTTTCTGTAGGAATGGGATGAGCTCTTCTTTGTACATCTGGTAGAATTTGGCTGTGAATCCATAAGGTTCTGGGCTTTTTTTTGTTGTGGTTGGTAGGCTTTTTATTACTGATTTGATTTTGGAGCTCACTATTGTATTTCAGGAAACCAATTTCTTCCTGCCTTTTCTTGGGAGGGTGTTTATGTCCAGAAATTTATCCATCCGTTCTGGGTTTTCTAGTTGTGTGCGGAAAGGTGTTCATAGTAGTTTCTAATGGTTGGTTTTATTTTTGTGGGGTTAGTAGTAACATCCCCTTTATAATTTCTAATTGTCTTATTTGGATCTTTTTTTCTTTATTTGTCTAGCTAGTGGCCTATATAATTTTTAAAAAAAAGAAACTTCTAGATTTGTTGATCTTTTAAATGTTTCTCTCTCTCTCTCTCTCTCTCTCTCTGTCTCTGTCTCTGTCTCTCAATTTCCTTCAGTTCAGCTCTGAGTTTTGTTATTTCTTGTCTCCTGCTAGCTTTGGGGTTGATTTTATCCTTGCTTCTCTAATTCTTTCAGTTTAAATTTAGGTGGTTAATTTGAGATCTTTCGAACTTTTTGATATGGGCATTTAGTGCTATGAATTTTCCTCTCAACACTTCATTAGTTGTGTCCCAGAGATTTTGATATGTTGTATCTTTATTTTCATGATATTCAAAGAATTTGTTGATTGCTGCCTTATTTATCCAGAAGTTTATTCAGAAGCATGTTGTTTAATTTTCACGTAATTCCACAATTTTGAGTGGTTTTCATAGTCTTGACTTCTATTTTCATTGCACTGTGGTGCAAGAGAGGGTTTGGTATGATTCTAGTTCTTTTATATTTGCTGAGGATAGTTTTATTATGTGGTGATGAGAAGACTGTACATTCTGTTATTTTTCAGTGGCGCATTCTTTAAAGGTCTATCAGATCCGTAGGTCCAATGTTGAGTTTAGCTCCTAAATATCTATTAATTTTCTGCCTTGAAAATCTAACACTGTCAGTGAAATGTTAGACTCTCACAGAATAATAGTGGGAGACTTTATGTCTCTGTATAGTAGGTCTCTAAGAACTTGCTTTATGAATCTGGGTGTTCCTGGTTGGTGCATATATATTTAGGACAACTATGTCTCTTTGTAGAATTGAACCCTTTACCATTACATAATGCCCTTCTTTATTTTCGTTGGTTTGAAATGTTTTGTCTGATATTAGAATTGCCACCTGTGCTTTTTGCTGTTTTCCATTTGCTTGCTATGTTTACTTCCTTCACCACTATTTTGAGCCTATGAGTGTCACTACATGTGAGAGATGGGTCTCCCGAAGACAGCATACACTTGGGTCTTTTTTTTAATCCAGCTTGCCTTTTAACCCAGTTACATTCAAGGCTGGTATTGATAGGTGTGGGTTTGATCCTGTCTCTGTGCTATTAGTTGCTTATTATGGTGGCTCATTTATGTGTTTGCTTTACAGGTACACTGGTCTGTGTGTTTTTGTATTTTCAATATCTCTCTCTCGTAAGGCAAGTCTGCTGGTAATGAATTCCCCCAACAGTTGCTTCTCTGGAAAGGATCTTATTTCTTCTTCACTTAGGAAGCTTAGTTTGGCAGGATGTAAAATTCTTGGTTGAAGATGTTTTCTTTAAGAATGTTCAGTATAGGCCCCCACTCTCTTCTGGGTTGCAAGGTTTTAGCTGGGAGTTGCACTGTCTGATGGGGTTCCCTTTGGTAGATTAACCTGCCCTTTCTGTCTAGATGCCTTTAACAATCTTTCATTTTTACCTTGGAAAATCTGACAATTGTGTGTCTTGGGAATAATCTTTTTGTGTAGAATCTTACAGGGAGTTCTATTTCCTGAATTTGACTGTTGGCCTCCATAGAAGACTGGGGAAGTTTTCATAGATGGTATCCTGAAATATGCTTTTCAAGTTGTTTGCTTTCTCCCCATCCCTTACAGGGTTGATAATGATTCATAGATTTGGTCTCTTTACATAATCTCATACTTCTCAGATGTTTTGTTTATTCCTTTAAATTCTTTTTTCTTGATTTTTGTCTGACTTCTTTGTTTCAGGGAACCATCTTCAGGTTCTGAGATTTATTCCCCAGCTCAGTTTATTCTTCTGTTAATACTTGTGACTGCATTGTGAAATTCTTGAATTGTCTTATTCTGCTCTGGCAGACTTGTTAGGTTCTTTTTAACACTGGCTATTTCACCCTTTAGCTCCTGGAAAATAGTCTATGGACTATACTCAATCTACACTCTAGTTAAAGGAACACCTACACAAAGAGATGAGAAAAAAACAATACAAGAACTTCAGTGTTGCAAATGCTTAGATTGTCATATGTCCTCTAAATGACTGAATCAGTTCTCCAATAAGAGTTCTTAACCTGGTTGAACTAGTTGAGATGAAGGAATAGAAGTCAGAATATGGATTAGAAGAAAGATCATTGAGATTCAGGAGGGAAATAAACCCCAATCCAAGCAAAATAAGAATCAAAATAAAGCAATACAGGAGAGGCTTTTAGTTGATCTCTGTCCAGGGAGTTGACAAGTTGCTGTGGGCTTAATAGCTCTGGTGGTGGGTGGCTGGAGGCCCAAGCCTGAAGTATTGGGAGATATGGGAACAGGCACCCATGTAGTAGACTGGCCACTTTTCTGTAGGGCTGCTTTGGTATGCTTGGGGCCTGCTCCACTCTATCATCACTTTGGACTTTCCAGTACTTAGAGGTATCACCAGTGAGGGCTGTGAAACAGCAAAATGGCAGCCTGGCCCTCTCTCTGGGAGCTTTGACCCAGAGAAGTATGGGCCTGTTGCTGGCCCAGAGGCACCTGTAGCAGGTGACTGAAGACCCTAGTTTGGAGGTCCTGCCTGGTCAGGAGGAACAGGATCAGGGACTTGCTTAAAAAAGAAGTCAGGCCACATTTCGGTAGAGCAGCTATGTTGTGCTGGGCATTTTCTTCAGCCCCTGGTTGCCTCAGACAACCTAAGTCCAGATGGCTGGAACCAGCTAAGTCACCCAAGCAGCAGAGATGGTGGCCCACCCCCTCCCTCTGGGAGCTCCATCCCTGGGAGGTTAGTAATCTCTGTTGGCCAGAGAACACCACTGGGGGAGAGGTGACTGGAGGTGTCCCAGTTGGGAAGTCCAGCCCAGTAACAACCTGCTTAAAGTAGTCTGGCCACGTTTGGTAGAGCAGCTGTGCTATATTGGGGGATCCCTTCTGCCCCTGGTCAGCCTGGATTCTGCAAAGCCTGAAGGCTAGAACTGCTAAGGTACTGATCAGTAAAGATGGAGGCCCACCTGTCCCCCTGGAAGCTCTTCCTTAGGGAGATACAATGCTGCTACCAGTGGCTGGCTCAAGTTCTAAGCCAGTGGGTCTTATCTTATCAGGTCCCATGGAAATGGGGCCTTCAAGCTGTTGTTGTTCACCCCACTGGATTCAGCCTCTTTTTATGGGTATGGACAGGGGTCTAACCACCCACTTTGCTGGAGCCACAGCTACTTTTGCTGGAAAGCCCAAGTATCTAAGGCTACATGGGAACAGGCACACATGCGTGTGTCCATGCATGTCTGAGTGGTTGCTCTGCCAAGACTCCACGTAGCTCTGTCAGACTGAATGAAAGTCCTGGTGGACTGGTTCACAGGATGATCTCCTGACCCAAGGGTTGCAAAGATCTGGAGAAGCAGCATGGCTTCTTTAGGTGGAGCAGGGTCCCCTGGCTCCATGTTGGTCCCAGGTGGGCTGTTGTCCCGTCTTGCTTTTCTTTGTTCTCCGTGAGTCAAGTTGTTACCTTGATTAGTTCCTATGTGAATACAAGGATGTTTCAGTTGAAGGTGTTATATTTACTCACCCCTTCTGTTCCTCTCCATGAGAGCCACATGCAAACCAGCTGCTTCTAGGTAGCCATACTGGCCACTCCCCTCCATTATTTTCATCTAGAATACTCCATCTTTAAAAAATGAGTTTTCCCCAACTATGCATCATTTTATTTTTGAACTGAGCCTATTTCTAGCACTTAATATTTACATAGTTACAATTCATTTGACCTATGAGTCATTGTATTTATCTCTTATAGCTGTTCTAAAGCTTGGTCTTATGGTCCAATTATATTAATAGGATATACGTTACAAATAATACTTAGGGAAGGTGATACAGTTTCATAGGAAAAGCACTGGCTAGAGTTAGAGGACCAGGAGTCCTCTAACGCTAAGTCTAGGTCTAGCCACTAACTAGCTGTGTGAACTTAAACAAATCAATTTTATTTAAGTTCCTTACCCTAAGAAGCCTGGAACTTTTCAATGTTAACATTTAAAAACAATAAAGATAATTACCTTTCCTTTAAAAGTCCAACTGTGAAAAATCTATATTGACTGATTAAACTTTAATGAGATAGTTAAGGAAGGCATGTTGTATTTATAAGTAATCTAATTTGTTTAGAAAAATGTATGCAAACAAAGTGGTTCAATCTCACTACTCAGATAATTACTTGTAAAGAAATACATGCACAGAGGCTTTTTGGTGTTTTAATCGCAGGTAATGAATAACGTGAAGTCTTCACCTCCATGCCGAACAGTCTCCATCCTACTTCCAAAAAGGTAAACATTGTTCATATTTTGTTACAAATTCTTTAAAAATCAGCATACTGAAAGATGTTTGAGTATTTCCTAATAGGTGCAGATCCTATCATAAAACTGTATGCATATAATATTTTTAAAGAGAAATCATTGTTTTAGCAGAGTAAAGAATACTTGTTAACATTTCTTTGAAATGCTTATATATGATTAGAAGCATTGCTTTCTCGTATTCTGTACAGATAGTAAGTTCAAAGGCATACTTGGAGACAGGATTGTGTGTTTTCGCAAAGAAACTTCCTTCTTAAATAACAGAGCACCTCTAAGCTTGGTTTTTTTAGAGCAGTTTCTAATATTATGTTTAGTTTATTAAGCCACATAAAATAAGGTTGGATATGATTATTTTTATTTATCAAGGTAATTATTTTCCCTAAAGTTTAAAGAAAACTTTAAGGAACAAATAAGTGAAACTGGAGCAAGTTTACTGAGGTATAGATACACCACCACTAATTTCATAGTACAGTTAGTTGTCTTGGAAAGGTATCAAGAGTTCATCAAAAGGCCAATGGAGTTTCTGAAAGCCCCACAGGAAGACCTGGCTAGTGACAATAGTACCACCTCCTCTGGAGACCTGACTCTGAAATGAATTACACTCAGGGCAAAAACCATTCTTCTGTATTTGTAGATAGCCTAAAATGTATGTCACAGCTGCTTGGCCTAATTTTATAGAGCAAGTGGAGGCTACTCCATTTGCAATTCACAATGACAAGATGAGCTCAGTATTTGAACAAAGAAATTTAAATTTACCAATATTTAGCAACTGTAGGGTTTACATTCTTAGAACAAAAAAAGAAAACAAAATAAAACCTTTAAGAAAGCTAAGAAAGTACACCCATAAAGAAATAGCCATGAATCATTCTTCAAACCAGCATCAGTACTCAGGTGTGATTACTGTTTTAGAAAAATCATCTTTGAACACAAAACTTTTGCTGGTGTATATTAGTGTTCACAAATTAAAAAAAAAAATCTATGAAAGGGCCAGTGCACCCAGGTATTCATGTACATACAACAGCATATCATGATGAACACTGGAAGCCTTGCCCTAGAGTCTGCGCTCTTAGGTCTCACCACTGACCCCCACTTACTGGGTTTATCTTGAGCAAATCTTTAGCTTCTTTCTCCCTAAACTGCTTCATCTGAAAAATAGAGATGACAATAGTACTTGGCTCACTGAGTTATGAAAATTAAATAAGAACATGGTAAGTACATGTAACACTGTTTTTCTTATTCCATGGGATATACCAAGGGAAAGGTTTACATCAAAACATTAAGTCAAAATAATTTATTCAAAAGCCATGTCACTGTTAATAGAGTCAAAAATGCAAATGAAAAAAACACACAAAATATTTTTTAAATATTATGTAAAGGCTTATATTTGCAAGGTTAAAAACACTCCATTTATGAATCCATTTGTGCACGGAACTTGTATACATGCAACAGAGACTTGGGCCAGAATGGACATTGTGGAATTAGTTTAAAAAATACATTTTACAGCTTTTCCAAAAATCTTTAATGAAAAGTCAGATAGAACATAATGAGAAAGGACAAAACAGATGCTGGTTTCTGCTGAAATTTGCCAAACTTTTACAGCATCATTAGGACAGCTTTCCATTTAGGTCACCACAGTTTAAAAGTAAGTGGGACATTTGGATCTAGAAGAGAGCAGTGATGATTAAAGGGTTGGAAACCCAGGCTTACGAGGAAAGGATCATGGAAATGATGTTGGTTGGCCAGAAGAAAAGGCGGCTGTGGGTGCCTTAATTACAGTCTCAGTGTATATAATATACCATATTAATGAACAGATGTTGTTCCTCAATGAAAATAGAACAAGATGGGAGCACCGTGGCTCTAACTTGAGAAACATCTTTGTCTATAAAGAGTTGTTGAATAGCAACCAGTATCTACTCATTTCTTCTATTTTGTGTACTATATTAAGTCCTAAAGATTGATAATTCACATATAGACATATTGGATAGAATATGCTCTATAATCATATTGCAGGAGACTTGGTGACCTATATGTATTAGCGCATGGGAAAGACAGAAAACTAGGTGGAAACAGTGGCACATTTTGCATTCCCACTTCTGGTGCATAAGGATGCATGAGTATCCTGAGACCACCACAGAAGATAGCTAGGTGGGAGTCTGTTTGTTGATACTCCAACCAAGAGGACTGCCTGGGGGAAAAGTAAAAAGATAACACTAGGAGCTGAGAGAAGGTTTGAGTTTGGTAGGGAGGGAAGCAGAATGGATCTTCCAGCTCAAGGAATTATGCAGTGAGTAGGCTTTCCTTGCAGGCCACTCTATTTTACAGCCACCAATAATCAGTTTTGGATTACCACAAGAGACACCACCAAGAGATAAGGAAGAACACAGAAGTCCAAATATATACATACATATATGTTTAAACTGTCTTTCCTATAAATAACACTTCACTTCTGATACCAAATGTGTAGGGTTTATTTCCCATACCAACCAATTCTCTAGCTCCTAACAGACCACCTACTGGGTATCCTAAAATGTGAAACACTATCGTCTACCAGGAATTAGATCCCACAAGACTGTCCACACTTCACATGCCAGTGACAAGTCCTGGCCTCCTGTACTTCTGACTGACCAGCTAGCTATATACTGGGAGTTTCCATAATTCCCGTCTCAGGTTCAGTAATTTGCCAGAATACCTTAAGGAAATATTTACTTATTTAAAAATAGTGTTTTGTTAAGAATATTTGCATCTGTGTTCATCAGGGATATTGGTCTGTAGTTTCCTGGTTTTGGTATTAGGGTAAAATGGGCTTCATAGAAAGATCTAGGGAGGATTCCCTCTTTATCTTTTGGAATAATGTCAGTAGCATTGTACCAATTCTTCTTTGAATGTCTGATAAAATTTAGTTGTGAATCTGTCTCGTCCTGGACTGTTTTTGGTTGGCAGTTTTTAAATTACCATTTCAGTCTTGCTGCTTGGTCTGTTCAGAGTTTCTATTTCTTTCTGGTTTAATCTAGGAGAGTGGTATATTTCTGGAAATTTAACCATTCTACTCTAGGTGTTCAGAGTATCCTCGAATGATCTTTTGTATTTCTGTGGTATCAGTGTGTCTCCCATTTCTAATTGAGCTTATTTGGAACTTCTCTCTTTTCTTGACTAATCTCACTAATGGTCTATCTTTTTAAAGAATGAGTTTTTTCACTCAGTTTTATTCTGATCTTTGTTATTTCTTCTGCTGAGTTTGGGTTTGTTCTTGTTTCTCTAGTTCCTTGAGGTGTGACCTTAGATTGCCTGTGCTCCATACTGCCTATGCTCTATCCCAGAGGTTTCAATAATTTGTGCCACCATTATCATTCAATTCAAAGAATTTTTTAATTTCTAGGTATTTGCAAGGTTTTTAGGGTTTCTTTTAGAGTTGATTTCCAATTTTATTCCATTGTGGTCATCCTCAAAAAAAACATTAGCAAATAGGACCCAACAGCATACCAAAAAGGTAATCCACCATGATCAAGTAGGTTTTAGACCAGGGACGGTTTGACATATGCCACTCAATAAATGTGATACACCACATAAATAGAATTAAAAACAAATCACATGATCATCTCAATAGATAGAGAAAAAGCATTTGACACAGTCTAGCATCCCTTTACACTGAACAGGAAAAATTGAAAGCATTCCACCTGAGAACTGGAACAAGACAAGGATGTCCACTCTCACTATTTCCATTCAACATAATACTTAGAAGTCGTAGCCACAACACTTAGACAAGAGAAAAAAATTAAGGGCATCCAAATCATTAGAGGAAGTCAAACTAGCATTGTTTGCTGATGATATAATCATATACCTAGAAAACAAAAGACCCCTCCAAAAAGCTCGTAGAACTGATAAATGAATTCAGTAAAGTTTCTGGATACAAAAGCAATGTACACAATAGTTGCAAAACAAAATACTTAAGAATACACCTAAGCAAAAAGGTGAAAGACCTCTACAGGGAAAACTACAAATCATTACTGAAAGAAATCACAGATAAACAAATGAAAACACATCCCATGCTCATGGATGAGTACAATCAGTATTGTGAAAGTGATCACACTGCCAAAAGCAATCTACAAATTTCATGCAATTCTCATTAAACTACTGACATCATTCTTCACTGAACTAGAAAAAACAATCCTAAAATTCATATGGAACCAAACAAAAGCCCACACAGTCAAAGCAAGACTAAGCAAAAAGAGCAAGTCTGAAGGTACCACATTACCTGACTTCAAACTATACTATAAGGCTATAGTCACCAAAACAACATGATACTCGTACAAAAATAGGAACATAGACCAATGGAACAGAATAGAGAACCCAGCAATAAAGTCGAATATTTACAGCCAACAGATCTTTGAGAAAACAACACAAAAACAAAGCGGGAAAAGGATACTGTATTCAGCAAATAGTGCTGAGATAATTGGCAAGCCACATATACAAGAATGAAACTGGATCCTTATCTCTCACCTTATACAAAACTCAAGATGGATCAAAGACTTAAATATAACACCTGAAACCATAAAGATTCTAGAAGATAACATGGAAAAAACCCTCCTAGGCATTGTTTTAGGCAAAGACTTCAAGAGCAAGAATCCAAAAGCAAATGCAACAGAAACAAAAATAAATGGGACTTAAACTAAAAGGCTTCTGCATGGCAAAATAATAATAATAATAAATCAGCAGAGTTAACAGACAACCTACAGAGTGGGAGAAAATCTTCACAAACTATACATCTTAAAAAGGACTAATATCCAGAATCTAAAAGGAATTCAAATCAGAAAAAAAAAAGCCTGTCAAAAAGTAGGCTAAGGACATGAATAGACAATTCTCAAAAGATGTACAGATGGACAACAAATATATGGAAAAATGCTCAACATCACTGATTATCAGGGAAATGCAAATCAAAACCACAACATGGTATCACCTTACTCCTGCAAGAATGGACATAATAAAAAAATAATAGATGTTGGCATGGATATGGTAAAAGAGAACACTTTTACACTGTTGTTGAGAATTTAAACTAGCACAGCCACTATGGAAAACAGTGTGGAGATTCCTTAAAGAACTAAAAGTAGCTCTACCATTTGATCCAGCAATCCCACTCCTGGGTATCTACCCAGAGGAAAAGAAGTAATTATTGATTGTGCGTATACAACTATCTTTTTTAAAGATAATGTTCATGGTAAATAAAGATATATCATGTTGTAATATATATAATAAAATTAATATATAATGTTCATATTAAAAATGAACATTTGATCATGTTTAAAATGTTTATCATGGTTAAAAATGAAAAACCAGTGGGGTGTCTATTCCTTTTATAAAAATATTTGGATGTGCATGTTTATAGCGGCATAATTTGCAATTGTGAAAACATGGAACCAGCCCAAATGCCCATCAATCAACAAGTGGATACAGAAACTATGAATATATAAGATGGAACACTAAACAGTCATAAAAAGGAACTAATTTTAAGGTAGATCTATGTCTCAGTTCAAATTCAGTGTTCAATGACATACTATCTAAATGTACAATAATCTATCTAGTCTCCTAAGTGAGGCCGGAAGAAAAGAAGAGTGAGCTGGTTAAAAGAGGACTAAGATTCTCCAAGAACTGAGTTTGTGTTCTAGCTCTGTCACTTACTATTTGATGGGCAATTTATCAATGGGCAATTTACATAATCTATTTTAAATCATGGGTAGTGAGGGAATAAGTGTTAGGCACCAACAACATCTATTATAGAAGTTACTCAATATCTTGCCTATGTTCAAATCCTTTGAACATAGGTAGGCCTCTAAATAGTCCACTTAAACTCCAGTTCTTTTGGAAAATGATTATCAGATTTTAAGTCTATCAAAATTCCATTCAGCACTGAATACATATACAGTATATTGTGACTTATGAATATATGCAAAAATTTATATTCAAAACATAAGAGAGAAAATACTCATTTTTAACATGTTAAAACCAGTGGGGGTCTATTCCATGGATGAGTTAGAAATTTAATACAAATGTGAATTTACTTTTTTTTTTTTTTTTTTTGAGACGGAGTTTTGCTCTTGTTACCCAGGCTGGAGTGCAATGGCACGATCTTGGCTCACCGCAACCTCCGCCTCCTGGGTTCAGGCAATTCTCCTGCCTCAGCCTCCCGAGTAGCTGGGATTACAGGTGTGCACCACCATGCCCAGCTAATTTTTTGTATTTTTAGTAGAGATGGGGTTTCACCATGGTGACCAGGATGGTCCCGATCTCTTGACCTTGTGATCCACCCGCCTCGGCCTCCCAAAGTGCTGGGATTACAGGCTTGAGCCACCACGCCCAGCCTGTGAATTTACTTTTATAATTTACTCTTAGAAATCAGTCTCAGTAAGGCAGCAGGAGTTCTCTTCCTGTCTCAGGTGTTGAGCCTAAAATTTTCCAAGTTTTATGACAGTATTAGATTCACACCCATGGAGGGGTATATGCTGTTCTCAGCTATTTTTGATGCCTTCTTCTCAAAATCAAATTCAAGATAGAGGCACAGGGACCGAGAAGCCTAGGATGAGACAAAGTTTGTGACTGGCACATACCTGCCCGGGACCCAAGTCACCAGAAGCCAAAGTCTCCTCAGGAAAGAATCTGTGTTATCAAATGGCCACCCTCCAGTCAACAGGGCCTGCTGAGTCAAAAACACATCAATATTACAATTTGTAAAGCACCACAAAGTTCTGTTATACATACTGACTCATTTAGTCTCAAGATATGCAGGATGTAAATTATTGTGTCCCTGTTACTGGTATGGAAAACATAATTTAAAATACATTACATAAATTGCCCACAGATAATCAAAAGTAAGTGATAGAGCTGGAACACAAACTCAGTTCTTGGAGGATCTTAGCCCCCTTTTTACCAGTTTATTCTTTTCTTCTGGCCTCATTGAGGGGACCAGATAGATCATTGTACATTTAGGCAATAAGTTATTGAACACTGAATTTGAACCATGACATAGAGCAACCTTAAGCTAAGGCAAAATTGAAAAATATCCATTTCTTATTAGAAATATTATTTGATAATTTCTTTTCTAAACCTGAGTGTTCAACTTACTTTTCCCTATATGCTTAGGGTCCTCAATCAAATAAAATTGGAATGACATTTGCTAAGTGTTTTGTTATCTGATGCTGCATAAAAAATTACCCCTAAACTGAGAAGCTTAAAATCATCATAATCATCTCAGTTACTCTGGGTTAAGATGCCAGTAGTTTGAAGTAGTTTGACTGGGTGATTTGACTCAGGGTAGGTATCTCTTGAGGTTGCAGTTGAGCTGCTGGCCAGGCAACAGTCACATGGGGCTAGAAGACCCACTGTCAGGATCATTTATGCTATTGATGGGAGGCCTGTTTCTTGCTGGCCCACATCTGTCCATCTCCGTTCCTCACCATGCACTGCTTGAGTGTTCTCACGACATGGTTGCTGGCTTGCACTGAGCAAGAAATCTGAGAAAGAGCAATCGAAGTGTTGCTAGCTAGCATTCTTTTACAACCTCATCTCAGAAGTGACACGCAGTCACTTTGGCCACGTTCTTTGATCCCACAGACCAACACTGGTATGATATAGGAGAGGACTTCACAAGGGTGTGAATTCTAGGAGGTGGGGATCATTGGGAGGGCCTTGGAGGCTGACTATCACACTAAGAAGCATACAAATGTAGGGGCATTTTATTCCCTCTGTTGCTCCTTAGAGGCAAAACAGGGGATATGGAAAGGGGATTTTTTTTCCCCTGTGTAAAAGAACACAATTCAATTTACCTACTGTTGTGTTATCTTTATTAGACTGAGCTCAAAACAGATACTAACCTACAATTGATAAGACATTAAGATCCCATCTCTATACTCAAAGAGCTCAATCTAAAAAAACAAATATACCAAGATATGTAAATCAAGAGAAGTTCAGGAAGAGCTCACAAAGGTATAAGAGGGTTCATATAATGATGGTAAGCTGCTGTTTACCTGCAGAAGAATAAGACACAATACCTAGGAGAAGTGGCATTTGATATGAGCCCTCTGAAATAAGTAGAATTTCAGACAAATTTCAGGGCAAAGAAAAATCAAGAGAAAGGAGATAAAAGACTCCAAGGAGGGAAACTTACCAAGAATCTTTGAATCAGAAATTCTGATAATCACAGCTTCACAATTATGGAAGTCCAGCAGTGAAAACAAATTGCATGTAGTTTGATGTTAAAGTAGCTGTTTGCAAAGCCTCTGATAGGAGTGTACCCAAAAAGAAAGAAGAAAAGGATATCAGACTCAGCTTCCTGCTTCAGTTTCTCCAGTGGCTTCCCACTGTCTGCAATAAGTTAACGCAAACTCCTTAGCATTGTCTTTAAGACCTTCAGTCTGGCCTGTACCTTGGGAGCCTTATTTCTAATCCCCATCCTGCCTCCTGGCCCCCGATGATGCTCCAGCCTCCCCATCTCCTTATCATCCCAGGACATACCAGGGTGGGTCCCAGCTACACAGGCATACTTTCTCACCCATTCTGTTTATTCTGCATGGAAGAGCCTGCACATCTCTTCTTCACACCATTTTCTCCTTACCTTTCCACATTCAAAGGTCACCTGGCCTAGAAAGATTTTTCTGACTCTCCTCTGGGTCCATCCTCATCCCAGCTGTAAACCCATTGCTATAAATGCATTCACATCTGGCATAGCATATACTCTATATAACTGATTCTAAAAGGAATATTCAAATCCTACAACTGAAGGCATGATATAGTTTAATCGACATATTTTTTTCCTTGAAAAAGGAAAGAGATAAATCAGTGGTGCCTTAAACTTGACGGAATTTACTCATTTGCATATTTATTTCTTCTTTGAGACTAAAAACACCTTGTGATATGGAATCATTTATTTCATATCCCCATTGCCTGTCACATTGCCTTGTATCATAAGCTCACCATGAATGTAAGAGGCTTTTCTTTAAATAGCTAAAGGAAACATCATTGCTTTCTACCTAGTTCCAGGAAGAGTGACCCTGATTATCCATGTCATTTCATTTAAAGGGGTCAGCAGAAGGTGAATCAAAATTATATGATCTGTTGACCTTGTTGCATCATTTGACCTGAAAACTATGACCCCCTTCCTTTCATGTCATGTATCTCCAAACTGTCCTGGAATTAAAAATCCCAAATCTCTTGGCAGAACACCATCATTTTCAACAATGGACTTAGAACTATAAATATATACAATTGATAAAATGCCCAATCAATGAAGTCAGGCCTAAAGTCTAAGCTTTAATGTTTATTAGCATGTAACCTTTGATGGTTAATCATTTTGAACCTTAGTTTTATCTTCTGTAAAATGAGGGTAGTACAGCTCACCTCTCAGGGTAGTTGTGATACGGCTGAAATGACTGGAAGAGCACCAGGGTCCTTAGTCTCCTGCTGATTTAGATAAAATGACATGGACACACGTGGAGTGGATTTAAGGAGCAGAAAGTTTAACAAGCAAGAAAGAAGCTTCCCCATATGGAGACAGAGGGAGGGAGGGTCCAAGACAGAAACCCTGCGTGTGATAGAAAAATGGTTGGTTATACTGGAGGCTGGGGGAGGCGGTGTCCGATTTGCATAGGGCCCCAGGGATTGGTTTGACCAGGTGTGTCATTCACATAGCCAACAAAAAACCTGGTCCTCCCACCTTAGTCTTTTAATATGCAAATGAGAGCTGCCATGATGTCCTGAACACACGGAGTTATCTGGAGGTAGCCAAGACACTTGGCACTCATGGTGACAAGAAGGCGGGAATCGCCATATTGGGTGGACCCAGTTTCTAATAGCCTGCATTTGCATATCAAAGCTTGCCAGCCTAGCCCTTCAAGCTGCCTTTCTATTAGAAAAGAAATGGTTTGGGGGTTGCTTCTTATTACAGGAAAATTACTACCGAGAACATTTACCCTTTCCAGCTGCCTAAAAATTATTTCTTAATAACTCCTGTATTTCTTGTTTTATATTTGTTAATGGAGTTGATCCTTACATCTAAGGTGGGGCCGAGGTATAGGAAGATATCCAGTTAATTTTAAACCATCACTGTGGCATCCATCACCTGGCACGTAACAGAATGAACCACAACAATAATAAGAGTCCACGGGGTCAGGTGAGCAATGTGGGCTTAGAAATCCATTCTAACATATTAATTGGGCATTGAGGTAATTGCCCAAATTAATGATGTTAAAATGCAGTGGACAATAATCCTTGTGGAGGATTTATTCTGCTTTGAATTTCTCTTTCTCTCCACGTATGATTCAGTCATCTGAAGTTTGGATCTAGTTTGACCTATTGTTTTTGTATTGACCACACATTCTTACCACAAAAATGTGGAATTTTTGACAATTTGACCATATCTTATTCCTCATATTATTTTGTGGACCAGACTGTTGCTTTGCTTCCAGGCATTGTAATTTGACATGTACTCTACAACAACCTTTAGCCCCCATTAACTCTTTGTAAGGCTATTTTATTTCTTCTAAAACTTTCTCATAGGTTTCACAACTTTCTTTTGAACATTCTCCAAAAATCCTAAATCCTTAAGTTTGCTTAACCATATTTCTCTTTCTCTTCTATTGTGCATTTCTCTATCTTGAGAAGTCTTTGAGAAAGCAGGGAGTCCTTCTACCAACTGATGAATACTAGGATAGGCATGGGTGATGAAGGCCTTCTACAGGTCATTTAGAACTATGGGAGCAGAGCAGAAAAGAAAGGAAGTGAGAAACAGATAAGAAAATTCAGAGAACTGGGGGAAAGAAGAGCAACAATTCTGATTTATTGCCATGCAAAGACGGAGAGATTAAGATCAGGAGGGGATGTTTTAGCTGGCTTCCATATCCAGAGGATGAAGTGAGAGGATAAAGGTCTAGTTTACACAAAGAAGTTTAAAAGCCAGATGCAAAATCCAAATCTTCATCATATACTGATAAGCCCTACCACATTATTTGGAAAGAAGGTTCTAGACGTCAACATGAGAAGAGGTGAAAAACCCCTTTGATCTTTCATAATCTAGAAACAGAATCCCAGAACAATAAAACAGACAACTAATCCTATTATTTTCTGATCTTTTGGCTCCTTTGGATCATTTTATAAACTTATCTACTCTGTGGGGGCCTAATCCTTGTCCTAGTAGTCCATGTGGCTGAATGGCTGCCTGATCTAAATGCTTTGATCAGCCGGGAGTCTTTTCTACCCTTTTTATAGACACAACTTTCAGAAATACTTTCTCCAAAAGCAGTGTGCTTTGATAAACAGGTTTAACTGCCATAATCACCAGGCATTTGAGTGCAGATTACTTCATAGACCCAGATAATAGATCTTGTTCTGTCATGTTGTTTTTAGCCAAAATTGAAAGCTTTGAAGAACATGGAGAAACTATGAAATTTTAATAGCCTTGGGGTACAGAAACTTAACACAAAGAAATAAACCTCATTCATTCAAAGACTATTCATGGCCTTGGTGGAAAGATTGTTGCCAAATTCTGTGATTAATGACAGTTGTTGAAGAAAGCTAGGAGAAAAAGGCACCAAATGTTTTTGAATTAATCAAAGACAGCAATTTGAATAAATGGTCCTAGAGTCCACAGTAAGTACTTGATCAAATGAACCTCACTGTTACTTTGAATTGTCAGATATCACCTTTATCCTGAAAAACAAAACAAAACAAAAATGCCTGACTCAACATTACTGATTTGATAGAGAAGGTATCCTCTATTTTCCTACATAAAAGGGACTCAAAATCTGAGGGTTGTGATATTTAGGTATTCTTGCCTGAGGAAGGTCATTTCACAGTAACCTCCTGAAAAAATAAGGACTATATATATTATGATTAATAACTTGTTCATAAAAATGATAATGATATGGTTTGCCTATGTGTCCCCACCCAAATCTCATCTTGTTGCTCCCATAATTCCCATGTGTTATAGGAGAGATTCAGTGGGAGATAACTGAACCTTGGCAGCGAGTCTTTCCCATGCTATTCTCCTGATAGTGAATAAGTCTCACAAGAGCTGATGGTTTTAAAAATGGAAGTCTCCAGCACAAGCACTCTCTTTGCCTGCTGCCAGCCAAGTAAGATGTGACTTGCTCCTCCTTACGTTCTTCCATGATCGTGAGGCTTCCCCAGCCATGCGAAACTGTAAGTCCAAAAAATCTATCTTTTGTAAATTGCCCAGTCTCACGTATGTCTTCATCAGAAACATGACAACAGACTAATACATATAACATAACAAAAACAGGAATAAAATGAATGAAATGAAGAACTCACATGAACTATTACACTAAAAGATCATCATCAATTTTCTGTAATCTAGACAAAGCCCGTCCACGATGGGCCAATTCTGTCAGAGATAAGGCTGATGGAAAGGTTCAGAAATAATTACACATTTTCCTCCTCATATTTCTATGGAATTTTTTGGAGAATACAAAAATAAACTCTTTATTAAAAAGGGAGGGGTTCTGAAGCCCTGGAACAGTACCTGTCCATAGCCTGTTAGAAAAAGGGTTACACAGCAGGAGGTGAGTGGCAGGCAAGCCAGCCTTACTGCCAGAGCTTCATCTATTATCAGTTCAGTGGCCATACTACATTCTCATAAGAGCCCAAACCCTATTGTGAACTCTGCATGCAAGGAATCTAGGTTGTGCACTTCTTAGGAGAATCTAATGCAATCCCCAACCCACCCTGCTCCGTGAAAAAATTATCTTCCATGAAACCAGTCCCTGGTGCCAAAAAGGTTGGGAACCACTGTTATAATGCTTCAATAGGTAACTTGAATTCAACAGCTTGTGGTTATAGCTTGCTGTATGACAGAGGAAAAGGATGGATGGATGGATAGATAGACCAGATTTTAGAGCTTTATTAAATACCAACTTTATAGAATTTGACTTCTGAGCTTGAGCTTACACCATTTGCTCTACTTACATGCTATTTTTTTAATTTATATTTTATAACTTCATTTTTAATAAAATATATATATATTAGTTATTTTTCAATGTGGCTTTTTTGTGGTAAGTGTTCAGATGTAAGAATGTTTGTTATCTGTATCCCAAGTAGCTTGTTTTTCCTGAGTGAACATTAATGAATCCTACTTACGTTAATTCTATTTTAAGCTTACTAGATCCGTGCTGTGACTAGAAAATAGTTGTGTTCATATAAAACTTCTCCCATTTAAAAGTAAATGGGTAACATTTAAAAAAAACATTCCAGTAAAGCACTAAGTCATGAAAATGATTATATTTTCTTGACACTTGTTTCTAAGATGCATAACATGCTTTAATCTTTTAAAAATACAAACATTCCTTTTATAATATATGAAAGAATTACAACAGTGCACTTTATATACTTGAAACCAATAGTTCCCATCCTTCCTGCTCTTTAAAGAATGGAAATTAGACTATGTTTTTCTTACTTTTTTTAACAATGTAACTAAACATGATTTGCATATTATCCTAACTCATTTTGGATAATAAAAATACAAAAGTGTTTATATACATATACAAAATAAAATTTATAAGGTATGTATATGCGTGTGTATATATGTGAAGCCCAAAAAGCCTGACAGAGTGGGAGAGACTTTCAGCTCTAATCCCAGTAAAACAAACCATATGGCTAATTAAATATATATTCTATTGATCTCTCTACTAATTGCTAAAAAAAAGTACATGTTTTCAGCTGATCAGCTATTAATTTGGCATTCTGCATCTACATCTTTCTCACCTGTTGTTGAGATTAACTCCATGATTTTAATCTTTTATTTGTAGACTTGGGTTTCTTGCACCTTATAGACTTCAAAGTTCATGAAGCGAGCAAATTAAAAAATTTGCCCTATGAGAATACTGCAGGTTATAAAAGCGGTCCAAGAAGGTTCGCTAGGTTTTCCTTGCAATGTCAGAACAGGATGAAAAGCAAATTTGAGGCGATGTTTCTTTCCTTGGAAGAACTATATATATAGTTGACAGGGACCCCCTCTCTTTTTACCCTTTGTTGACTTAGCACACTGTCAAACCAAACCTTGCTCTCCTTCCCAATCACTTCTTCATGAACCTCTCCCACAAGAAGTGGATGTGAAATGTAGATATTCAAATTTCCACCATTTCAGAAACCACAACTCTTCCTAAGAGAAGGAAGAAAACATGAAAAATGGATAAAAAGGCTGATCTAGAGGTGCTTAATTTAGCAGTCACAGAATAGGAACTCCTTATTCTTGTATTTTGTATAGTTATAAATATTATATAGCATAGGATGAATATTCAGTAAATATATTATCCAGTTCACTCATTATCAACTAAATACAGAAATAAAATAAGGATATTTAAGCCAAACTTCATTCAACTCTATTGTTCAGTACAGAAATACTATGACTTGATGAAACAAAGAAAAAAGTTGCTTTCAAAAATAGTTTTACATAATGACTTAGTATAAGTGTAAGGTATATCAATAAAATAAAACTATGGATTTATTATTTTTGAGTTATAAAACCTGAATAATTTGGTTTCTCTTTTCACTTTTTAAGTAATAGTAATTTTATTATAAGGCCTGGTTTGGCTGTAGGCAAAGAATTGAATACTTGGAGCAAGAAAAAAAAACTGGTATGTTGGCTCTCATCACGTTCCTATAACTCATGAATATTAACATTTTCCAGAAGATTACTGCCCTTGGGGATTTGGGCACTTCCTTTTCAAATCTACTGTTATATGTATTATTATTCCTTTCATTGAAAGAAGGCAATCAAGATCTTTTAACTCAGTTTAAGAAAAAAAGACAACTCTTGCCAAGTTTCTTGAACCCCATTGTATACATGCAAGCTTAAATTAGAACAAACAAAACTATTTTTAAATCCCATATTAAAGACATGACATTATTGTATGGATTCCAGTAAGTGCTTCTAGTGTGTCAATTCTCTTCCTAAATGACATTCTCATTTAAGTTATTTGTATTTATCTCTATCCTCACAGGTTGCTCACACTGAAACCCAGCTCTCTTTCCCCTGGTGCAAAGAATGGTGGTTTCTCCAAAACTGAAGTTGGACATTATCTGAAATATCGGATCCTCCAGAAAAGGGACCTGAAGCCCCCTTTGTAATTTCTGCATTAGTGTTGCTCTCCTGGCAAGCAGGAAACTTCATCAGAGAAGTCAGCCAAGGAGCGTCTTTAAATGGAAGTTGTGCACACGAGGAGCAAATGCATTAAAAAGTTGCTGACGGGCATGAACTGCTTTGATGTGAAGACGGAAAACTCCAAGCAGGAAGGATTTTAAGCTTTTTGAGTCTGATTGACTCTGTGGTTTCTCAGCACAGTTATTCCATGGGCTAAAATAAATGCAGAAATGGTATTTTGAGACCACAGCTGCAGAGGGGATTGTGGTGAATTTCAATGAAAATCCAGTCGAATCTTGAGGTTCAGAGCTTAAAAAAGGAAAGGACATAAGGGAAGTAATACTGTTGCTTGAAATTCATTGCTTTTGTCCAAAAGAAACTCCCATTTTTTTTTGGAGAAATGTTGAATATTTGCAATGCGGTAGATGCTCCCACAAAAGTTTCTCCCCAGTTAGGAGCTAAATGTTGGAAAGAAGCAATTTACTGAGTATGCTGATAGAGATGAAGTTCAGAGACAGGCAAGCTTACACAAAAGTAATGATGTTTTACATTTTATCTTTACAAATGAGTTTCTTATAGTGGTCAATGACAAACCAATTTCATACAAAGCTTGCTTCAATAGGCAGTGGTTTGATGCCAATATGTTAGCTATTTACTTTGACCACCGTATGCATGAAGAATAAAAATTAAGAATACTCAAGCAGAACCTCCAACATAAATAGCATTTTCCACAAAAAGTGATGGAGGGGTAGACTGAGGTTAAATGGGACCAGGTATGCGAAGAAATCTCAGAAATGTTTGCACAATAATGCAGATACTCATTTTAAATAGAGTTTTAACAAGGAAGTAAGCAGAGTAGAATAAAATACTGAGCAAGAATGTGTCCTGAATATCTGGGTTTTTAATTCTGGCTCCACAGAACTTGTCAGGTATATGACATTAAACAAGATACTTCAAATTCTGCGCCTTCATTCTCTCAGCTGTAAATGGAAATTTTACTAGAACATTCTTTATGAGATCATGAAAACTGTATTACTTAATATACGTAAAGCTTTTGGCATCATATATGGCACCTGGTAAGCACTGAATAAATGTTAACATTAGTAGCAGTGTAGAATTAAAAAAAAAAAAGCAAACTGTAAGTTAGGCATCTGACTCTGAAACTAGTTAAATTCCCCAGAACTTATTCTGGCCATCTGTAAAACGAAAGGCTGATGATCATTGGGCTAGATCATCTCTAAACTTCCTTCCAACTTAAAAAAACATTGTTCAAAAACACATTATAGGAGTATGCAACATTTTTTAGCAGAAGGCGATGTTTTAGCAGAATGTTTTTACAGGCACTTAACCACTTTCACAAAAGTGTGTTTCATGGCCTGCACTTGCTCCTCAACCAACTCCTGTTGGGACTTCACCTGCTCCTATTCCACTGAAGTAGCACCTGTCAGGGCCACAAAAATTTCTATGCTGTCAAGTCCAATGGTCATTTCTTTAACCTCTTAGTACTCCCGTAGCACTCGACACACCTGAATCTGATCTTTCCCCTTTCTCCACTCACCAGCCAGAGTGCCTTTTTTTTTTGACAGTCTCACTTTGTCTTCTAGGCTGGAGTACCATCTTGGTTCACTGCAACCTCTGCCTTCCAGGTTCAAGCTATTCTGGTGCCTCAGC